GGGAAGTAACTCGTTGTAGTCCCTACCAGCCGTTTTTGTAGGCATTAAACCACCAGAATTTTAAAAGACGATATCTCCGTTTGCATTGAACTTTCAGCTTCGTAACTTTGCAGATATTGTTTATGCTCAAACAGCAACATTAGACACTAACTAACGTTAAAAAAGTGAAATCGCAATCAACCACCCCTTTAAATGTTTCCATGTTTTATTCAATTTATCCTGATTAATATCTTCATTCGCTTACAAATCAGTAAATTAAGAGGCACATAGGGTCCATTCTGTTTAACATGCATCCTCGGTTCATTCCAGGCTCAAGGATAGCTCTATTCATTACCTGCGTAATTTATTTGCACAGTGCCCCTCATGAGAAGTTCCTCTGACAGTGAGAGTTCTGGCTCAAGGGTTCACGCTGTGAAAGAAACTCAGAGTCTAATTATGTAGTTAGCAGGGGTCGTAGGTGTTCCGGAGCGAGCGCTGTGTGATACTTTTGGAGCTGACAGTAGCTCAGGTTAAAGGTGTAAACGTGAGCACATGTCTGTTTATTTGTGTTGTGGCAGATGCTAATATGATGTGCTCTCTGTGGATTGTTGGTCAGAGGCTTGTATCTGACATTGGCATCGCTCCAATGACTTTGAAAGTCACTGTGATAAAGGATTTGATCAGATGGTCTTATCAGCATAGAGTACCTCTACCTGAAATTGCTTGTAGGGGTTTGGGATTTCCCCAGGTGGTTGACACATGGGAGTACAACATTTATAGATTTATTATAGATTGATTTTAGAAATAAATTATAGATTAGAAAAACAGTAGTGTCCTTTTTAAGACAAAAAAGCTGAATTTTCAGAAGCCATTACTCCAGTCTTAAGTTTCAGATGATTTTCCTTCAGAAAACATTCTAATATGATGATTTGATGCTCAAGAAACATTTATTGCTTAATATATATATATATATACTATATATATATATAGTAGCTGTGCGGTATGGCTGTATATCAGCATGGCTGTGATTCGGCCATAGGTAATCACAACGTGCTGATATATGAGCAATATTACTCGAGTACGAGAGCGATACCGGCTCTATATCAGCATGACTGTGATTAGGCCAGAGGCACGTGGCCTAATCACAGCCGCTGATATAGAGTCGGTATCGCTCGAGTACGAGAGGGATATTGCATTTATTCAACAGTTAGTCGGCACGA